CAATAGTGAGTTAAATCAAGCTAAAAACTATGCAAAGAAGCGTGGTGGAAATTGTCTTGAAAAAACTGGCCAGATACATAAACACGGCATCTATCTCTGGTCTTGTGAGAATGGTGCGCATCAATGGGAGTATCCATTAAAATATATTATAGAAAAATTCGAATGGTGCCCCTTATGTCACCATACTACCGAAAGAACCGTACGATATATTTTCGAGGATCTACTAGGTAAGAAATTCTCACCATGTAGGCCTAAATTTTTGGATGGGATGCATCTCGATGGGTATAACGAGGAATTACATCTTGCATTCGAATTCCAGGGCCCCCAACACTATCGTCTTAATCCAATGTTTCATAAAAGAGGGAGAATAGATTTGGATAAACAAAAATCTCGAGATCAAAAAAAGCAAGATCTATGTAAAAAAGAAGGTATATGTCTTATCTCGGTGCCTTATACGTGCGACCTTTTCCCCTATATCAGGTATATGCTAATCGAGAAAGGGTTCTTGAGTAATTCCCAGTCAGTAAAATAAATCTGAAACTTTAAATGTGTGTATTTCAATAAAATCCTTATTTTTTTTTCGATATAATAATTTCATGCTAAGCTGAATCAAGATGAGAAAAATAGAGTATTATATATACCATCTTAACGAGACCAAAAATTCAAAGAATATGAATCACCCTGCCAGTCCTGTGTTTTCTTTTCGTTTGTTAATTTGCGGTGGATCAGACAGTGGAAAAACCAATATGATTCTTAATCTTCTTCTTGGAAATAAAATTCAACATTTGCTTAAGGGAAAGAAAGGGGAACGGTATGTTAAAAATGATGATCTAGTCTTAATCGGAAAGCATATCCATGAGCCCAAATGGGTATTAGTGAAAAACTGTTATGAAATTTTTTCGAAGGGCCCAAAGACATATAGGGAAAACGTGACATTTCGCGCATTAAAAGCAGATGCAATTCCAGACATAACTAAATTTTCCCCAGATAGGAATACAGTTGTAGTCTTCGAGGATCTTTGTGCTGAATCAAAGAAAATTCAAGATCGGATTGTTCCATATTTTATTAGTGGCCGGCATCAAGGTGTATCAA